CCCTTGCCTAGTTGGCATAGAACCAGTTGTGAGACAGGGGCCACATTCAGTCACTTGTACTGGATGCAGAGGTCTTGAACAGCCTGGGTTGTTTCCAGGCATTATTTTTGGCTGATTTTATTGTCTTGTAAGTGATTGTGCCTCCTCAGGACCACTTTTTCTGTGTCTTTCTCTTGAGCACCAAGTACATAATGGGTTTTTTCCTCTTTTAAGTAGTTTGGTCATATTTCTTTTAAAGAACATTTTAGTATTGTGGCTTGACATACGGGTCTACTATTGCACGTTCTTTACTTGATATTGACATTGTCTTTTTGAAAACAATTATGTATAATAGTGATTGCCATGTTTTTATATTTGTGGGTGCCCTGTCTACAGGCGTTTGGATAATTGTTGGAGTCAGTGAATCGCTCTTCCTGGGGGACAGGGGATGGCAGATACCGATGAGGGGTGGAGTTGGAGAGTGAGCTGACTTGCAGAAAGCATGCAGCCGTATTGCAGCTAGAAAGGTGTGTCAGAAAAGTGTCTTGAAAACAACTGTTGGATGTAAAGGTATTTTAGGTGTATTTCAAGGCTACTGTAGGAAAAGTGGTTTATTCCTTAACTTTTTTGGTGGTGTTGACAAAGTTTCTCTGAGAATGGAGCCTCTCAAAAATTAAAGAGAACAGATGAATAGATTTACAGTTGGTTGCTTAAAGGTCTCTTCTGTATCTTTGAGGAAAAGTTTTAACAGATTAATTCTTTTTATCACTGGAGAACGCACAATTTACCATATAAGGGTTCATATGTAGTAAATGCTTAATAAATTTTTGTTGAACATTGAATGAATATTCCCTAAAATTGCTGTTGATGCTGCTAGTTCTTTACTGTGGCAAGAACTGGAGTACTGCTTTCTATTTATGTCCTCATACTACACAAGATTTAATAAAGGGCTTCGGGGAGATATTTAGTGAAATGTTTGTGGCTGTCTTAAAATCTTGTCTAGAATTGGAATGACTTCTTTCTTTTTTTAAACATTTTGTTTGGAGACATCACCTATTACAATGGAAAATGATGTGTTGGTTACACAAAAGTATAGCTGTTTCATTATAAATCATAAGTTAATCCAGTAAAAAATTAGATATTAAAAGATGATGTTTTTCCATAGTTGTTAAAGTAGCTATGTCATACTACAGTGATTTAATAGTCTGTTAGTTGAGAGTGAATAAAACTAAGCATTAGTGCGGATAGCTCTGTTAACTATTTCTAGAAGATTATGCCTTGTGTATTAAAACATTCAGACTGTACTCAGTATGGCCTACGCTTGACAGAGTCACTGCTTAGTGAAGAATATGCATATTCTGCCTGGTCATTTTTTAGCACATCATGTATAATTTTTTAAAAATGCTTTTGTAGAGTTGATGTGCCCATATATTCCTCTTCCCCACAACCCACTAAAAAGTACTTGGCACTTGTAAAATGGAAGCTGCCAGCCAATGTAAGGCTTGGTATTTATGAGATTTTTTTTGTGTCACCAAGCCAAAGTTAGGACCCTGGAGGGGTTGGAGTGTGGGGGCTTGGGATTAGGAGTCTTTTCAAAAGAGTTACCATAATTCTGTTTTATCACTTCTCTTTGTGTTATAGTGCTGATACTTGCTTCATGAATTTAGGATTTGAGAATAAGATAAATTTTTTTTCCTGAATTGGTGTCTAAAGATCTTTAAACAGGAAAAAAAAAACCCCAAAACCCAAGGACCTCATCTGTGCTGGAGGCAGGAGACAGGGAAATAGCAGCACAACAGAGGCTTAACAGTCAAAGGTGTTTCCAGTGCTGGAGAAAACTGAGGAGTCTTTGTGTTTCACACTTTACAACCCAATTTACTGTGTGTAAAATACTGTTCTTCTATAAGACGACTCCAACATAGTATTTTAATCTCTCTCGAATCCCTAATTTATCTGGTGGAAAACAATCCTTAAAGATAGGTTAAAAGGAAAAAACAAGTTTTCTCTTAAGGATTTAATCCTCAGGACAGAGTACTGTTGAGCAACAGGTTCTAAATTTATACTGAAGTAATATATCCAAAATTCCATGATTCCTCTGAAGGCTTCTGTGAACTACATAAACAGCAGTACTCAAAAGCTTTATTTGTTCTTTGAATTATGAGGGTAAACAATATTTTCTCCCCATTTATAACTATGATGGCTTCTTTTTGGGAGAGGAACATCTGTTTGGGTAAAACATTCGTATCAGTTTTTCTAGAGCCTTTCAGGTGAAAAGGGGATTTTCTTTTTCTATCTAAGAATATATAAGCAATTTGTTACATTAGTAAGATTTTATTTTGTGGGTTAGTATATGTGTGCTTAGAACGTTATCCTTGACCACTCTACCCACTAGATACCAGTAGGTCAGCTTGACCCCTACTTGTGACAACCAAATACTATCTCCAGACATTGTCACATATCTTTGGGCAACAAAATTCTCCCCTCTTTAGAACCACTGCTTTAGATTCTCTTTTCAGGCCTAAAGACACATAGGAGTATTAAATTAGCAAATGACTAAAAATTTATTAGTAAATGAGTACTGTTTTTTGGATTTTAGTATTGGTCATGTTGTAGGAATTAAAATTTTGTAAAGTACACAGCCTTGTTAGGAGGGTTTAACATTTTTTTATTTCCAGTTTTAGGAACTACTTGTTTCAACCAATTGTTATAAAGATGTAACTTCTCCACGTGAACTTGAGGTTAACATTTTTGGGACAGTCTTATTTAAAAGCCTCTTTGTTCCCTTTCTCAACTTCTAGAAAACCTATGTATTTTTGTTTGTGATGAAAATTCTGGCAGTGGGCCTGCAATGGATAGCATTAGCTAAAAAAGATCTCTTTGGGCCCCTCCCTTTCTAAATTTAGTTCATTCATTCAGTCCCAGACTCTCAGGGACACCAAGAGCCCAGTTGGGTTGCTCCTTCTGTGTTATGGGTAGACCCTGAAGCAGACACTTGCTTTTGGCCACTTTTTAACCTGTGGCCTGTGGTTGGTGTCCTGAAGTTGTGAGTATATTATAAATGACTTTGGAGGGAGGTAGAAAAATGCTCTCAAGGCAGAATTTAGGAAGACAGGGAGAGAGGAAAGAGCAAGAGAGAAATATTCATATTTTGGCAGCTGAAGGAAATAAAGACAATACAACAAGGTCACAGCTGGCTTCAGGGATGTCTAGCCTGCAGCCCAGGGTGGCTGTGAATGCGGCCCAACACAAAATCATAAATTTACTTAAAACATTATGAGATTTTTTTTGTGATTACATGTCGCAATGTATTTACTATGTGGCCCAATACAACTCTTTCTCCAGTGTGGCCCAGAGACTCCAAAAGATTGGACATCCCTGCTTCATATGGTTCTAGGCTAGTTTCTGACCGTGGCAGCTTGTCTGCTAAGGTCATCTTCTAGGTCTTCAGTGGGACTGTTATTTTGTTCTGATTCCAAAAGTAAACAAAGAACAACTGCAATATCAGGCAATTTTTTTGAAGAGGGTAATGTTTATGCTTCTGTGATCCAAAGTCATATTTCAGCAGAGGTTTTGATTTTGGTGTTTGATTTGGTTTGGTTTGGTTTGGTTGAGTTTTGCAGCCCTTTTTGCTCTAAGCAAGAGAGAATGTGCCAGGACTCCTCAAGTGACTTAATTATTCTAGTCATTCTCTTTCTAGAGGTCCGGTTTTCATTACAAATCATTTAGAGACTTTTTAAAAAGTAAAGAGACAATTACTCTGTAATAAAACTTCATTTGTTAGTTTACTTGTTTCTGCTTTGGTTGGATTTTTCTGTTCTTTGTTGCTGCTAGTTATTTTTGAGTACTTTTGCCTTCAGTATTTTCAGCTTTTTTGAAGGACAGTCATGAAGATGAGCAAAACTGTTGTTGTTTTTGACTTGTGGAGAAAACAAAATGTATTTAGAAAGAATGAAGGCCTTTGGGGCTTACAAGATGCAGTAGAACATTCTCCTCTGCTTCCCCAGGCTCTACCTCCCACCAGCCGCAGGAGTAAAATTGCCAGTCTGAAATCTGTTTCTCTCTTCTTCATCTTCTCAATTTTTGCTTTTAATTATACACATACTATAGAATGTTCTTTGCTATTTAGATGATTTTTCAGGATCAAGCATTGATGTGGATGCAACAGTTTACTCTGGGGTCAGTAGTTAAATGAGACCATCTCAAAACAAACCTCTTAGGAGAACAAATCGATCTTTTATCATTATATACAAAGAAACAGCAAAAGTAAGAAAATTTTCTCTCTCTTCAGTCAACTTAAAGGAAAGCTCCGAAGGTGCCAATCTGAGTCCTTAATGAGTCCCTTAAATGGAAACAGTGTTTACATTCACCATTAATGGTGTTACAACCCAGTTTGCTTTTAGCTTCTTAGAATCCTGAGCCCAGAAACCTTTACCATGTCCCATATACTATGAAAAAACCTTTCCGTATTTTAAAATTTGTATTTTGAATATAAGCTGTAATTTATAATTCTTAATACTCACCAATAAGTAGTATTATACCCTACTGATTTTCTTCCTTTCTTCCTTCTCTTTAGAGAGAGGGGAAGAGAGGGAGAAAGAGAGGGAGGGAAACATTAATATGTGAGAGATACATCAGTCAGTTGCCTCTCAAATGCCCCCAACTGGGGATCAGGCCTGCAACCCAGGCATGTGCCCTGATTGGCAGTCAATCCGGCGACCTTTCAGTTTGCAGGCCACCGCTCAATTCACTGAGCCACACCAGCCAGGGCCTGATTTTCTTCATAAAATGAACACGCAGAGCATGTGGGTATTGTAAGTAATTGAAAGACACTGAGAAAATCACAAGGCCAGGAACGTTATTGTATACCAAGGAGAGACATTTATAATACATCAACATACTTACATGCTGAATGGGGCTATTTTTCATACTTGAGAAGGTGACACCAATTTTGACTAAATATTGGCAATTACATATCTCCTCTATAATTCACCTTTTTATTTTCTTTTCCTTACAACTTTTAGGTAGAACTTTAGACTTCATAGTACTGAATTAACCTGCACTGAAAGCTGTTTACCTGCAGTTGTTCACTTTTGTTGAAAGTGACCATGTCTCAAGTTCAAGTGCAAGTTCAGAACCCATCTGCCGCTCTCTCAGGGAGCCAAATACTGAACAAGAACCAGTCTCTTCTCTCACAGCCTTTGATGAGTATTCCTCCTACTACTAGCTCTCTGCCCTCTGAAAATGCAGGTAGACCTATTCAAAACTCTGCTTTACCCTCTGCATCTATTACATCCACCAGTGCAGCTGCAGGTAAGCGTATGAATCCAAGTGTCTTCTGTTTCAAATGTGTTCTCAGCCTGTTTTTCGATCTGATAAGTAGATTGCAGATGTAGGGAGCTCTCACATTTATCTTCAGGAAGCAGAAGAAACTATTACTGCCCAAGCTTCTTTATCCCAGATGTAAAACACTTGATTGTGTATTGGGTTGATGGAGGCCTCGGTTGACAGGCCATTTCAGAATGTAAAAAAGAGAATTGAAAACTATGAAGCCTAGTCTGTTACAAAGTGGTGGCTGGCAGGGAGAATTGAACAGTAAATTCCACGTTGGATAGTTATTGTTGTATGGGAAAATTTTGCTTTTAAAATGATGTCCCAGAACTGACAAAGAACTTTTGTAGGTGTAAGCCCCCATTTTGTATTCCTGTAAGATTTTATGTCAAGAAGGGGGCAGTCAACTTTACTGGCAAGCAGAAGAGTGCATTGGCGTTCGTTAATTTTTATTTTGAAAAAGTAAATTTAAATTGAAGAGATTCCAGAGGTAATTCAGAAATCGTAGGACCAATTAGAGATTGAACAAAGAAGCAGAGATTTTTTGAAAAGGAAATAAGCTTAGAAGCATTCAAATCTCATTAGGAAACTAAAAACGAACAAAATGTGCTTATGGATTAGGAAAGACTTGAAATACCTCAGTAAAAAAACCTAAAAAGAGTATTCTCCCTCCCACCCCCCTGAAGTGGCAAAACCAGTTAAATGGAGTGTCAGCATGAGTGTCTCTATGCCAGAGTCACCTTATAACAAATGGCTTTCAGTCCCTCGTACCTGACAGTTTCCTTTGCATTCCATTCTCTCATTTCCTTTACTTTGTAACCCTATTCTTAGAGTATTAGCTTGCCCCACTGAGCTGCAGGGTTCTAGACTTCGTTGGACCAGCTTGCCAGATAGTATACAGCATTCTTGACTTGTCATAATCCCTAGAGATTCAGTTTTCCCCACATTTGCCATTTGAGACAGTCTTAAAAGGCAATGGCACTGACTATTTCTGTCCTCTGGGATTTATTGCTTTTTCTTCTAATGTGTCTTACGGCTACATCCTCTTGACTTTGTAAAACTGCCACCCACCAAGGCCATTTTATATTTTTCTTTTATAATTTTTAGAAGTAGGTAAGGTCTGAGGATGGTAGCCTCTGGAGATCAGACTAGGGACACCCAGTAATGAGAAGTTAAGTGTGTGGAGAACGACATTTATTGTTTGAGAAATGGTGTTGGCATGTTGCGTTTTGTGAAATAACGAACAGACTACAGCTCACAGCTGTTGTGGTGTCTGTTCAAAAGACCTGCTTGGCCGCAATTGCAGTGTTTCATCTGATTTCAGATCTTGCTTGCCCGCCGTGGTTTAGTTATTCCCTTGATTTCTATTCTCTCTCTTTTGAAGACACCCTCTCCTAGGCGTCCTGGCCTTAAATGGTTCAGCTGTCTTCAGGGACATGCCCCAGTGTGGTTTGCAGATGTGCATCACTGCTGCTCTGAATCCTTAGACCTTCGGTTGTTTTCCTTCTCTTTTCATATCCATAGGAGAGCAGCAGTCTATACACTTGACTTCAATGCTCTTACGTTATTTTTCAGTTCCTTCTAGCATGGCACACCCCAAAGAGAAAACCCCAATGTGTCTTGTGAATGAGTTAGCCCGTTTCAACAAGATTCAGCCTGAGTATAAGCTTTTGCGTGAGCAAGGTCCGGCTCACTGTAAGGTAAATATTGTCGATACTGCTTGTGCATTTATAACCCACCAGGAATGTTTTCTGTTTTTTTTATACTGTTCCAAGTGGTACTGTGATTCAGAATACATATTTTCACACTGCTGAGGTTATTTTAAAGAGGTGCAAAAGTATAGGTTTTTGGCAAGTGATTTCCTTTTCTAGCCTTGTAGAATGGGTTAAATAAAAGATATACTTCTGTTTAGGATATTTGGCTTTTAAAGCTCCAGTTAGTGTATAGTGGTTCAGGGTTCTGCATAAAGACAGTTCCAAGCACCTGGGAATGATTTCCTATGAGTTTTCCAGGCTCTGGCCCTCCTGGCTGCAGCCTCCCTCTGGCTCCTTTCCCGCTTGTTTGCACATGTACCTTAGACTGGGCAGGGAAGGGGTGAACTGGAAATCAGTTTTGCCACTTGTTAGCCATCAGGTAGGTAAAGGTTTGAAGATGAGAGGTAGAAATCGGTCTCAAAGTGCGTATTTGGATTGTCTCCGTTGTCAGTTTTCCTCATCATTTCCTTTAGAAAATGAAAGACTGACTATAATTTGAATATTTACTATTTATTAGGAATTCAGTCCTTTAAGCTTGTTTGATATTCATGTTAATGCAGATCTTGGAACTTAAATGTTTGCATATTGGCTTTATCTTTTGCCACTCTAGTATGAGAGGATATAATTTGAGATGTTAAGTATGAGAGTTAAGGAATTGGCCTCCTGTTTCTGATCCTGGCCTTCTAGTAACATATATAATTAAGGATGAGTTATCCGTCTATGCCTCATTTTTCTTGACATGCAAACCTCAAGCCTTAAATGATACCAAGTTTCTTTTTTCATTTGACTAAAAGTAACACCAAACACTATCATAAATAGGGCGATTAGGTAAGTGGCCTTTGAGGTCAGATCTGGGTTTGAACCAGGGCTTCTTTCTAACTGACCTTGAGCAGGTTACTGCTTTTTTTGAACCTTTGTTTCCTCATCTGTAAAAAGGGGGTAATAATGCCTACCAAATAGGCCTAGTGTGAAAATTAAATGAGAGAATGTATGTTAAAGTGTGAAACACAATGCCTGGCATTTAGTAAATGCTTGAGAAATGGTAGCTATTATCATTAAGCAATATGCATTTAAGAAAAAACCAGAAATTTTCCACTTGAAGCTAATTTAACATTATTTTAAAGCATAATTTGAAATTTTTTTATTTTCAGCAGGTAATTAATTAGTCATTTGCTATCATTGTTCTGTTTCTCCTACAGGATTTTTTTTGCAGACCTTAACTTTGGGATTCCCTTTATACCTGTTTTGGTATTTTTAAAATATGTATTTTGTCTCGAACTTCAGTACTTTAGGTAATTTGGTTGTGTATTTAATCTATAACTGTATTTTTTTTTAAACCTACAAATCATTCAAAGGGGAAAAGGTATTTCCTCTTAGATGACTGTTAGACTATTTAAAAAGTCAGAGGTCTGGTGTACTCTTAATTCTATGAAAGCCAAGATTCTAACTTGTTACCAGTCGTCCACACAGAGGCAACAGAGTGACAACCACCACCAGATGAGTAGGGTCCTGGAGAAATGGAATTAACTATTCATTTTGTTTTTTAGCATTTTCCCCTTCAGTGTCTTTCCATGAAAGGATCACGAACATGACCCAGGGCTTACACAACATTGCAGGCTTGTGCTCAGACTTTGCAGACCAGCCAGGGGTTTGCGTTCATGCTATCGATGCTTAAATGACTAACCTTGTGAACTGCATCATAAATACAGGGGGGCCCCTCATGTTTCAAGGGGGATGAAGGAATCTTCCATTTTTCCCCTTTAGTGGAAGCCGTGCACTGAGGGAATCCTGAAGTTAAGACCTACAAGAAAAATCAGCTGTGAAGGCAAGTTGCCCCTATCCCTTTAGCCAACTCACTGAAGTGACCTAGCCCTACTGAAATCAGCATTTCTCCTGTAAATTGTTTTGAATGAAATAAAGTGATAGTGATAAAATCAGGAAAATAAAAGCTCCAAAGTAGGGGGTCTCAAACTTTGGAGTGCATCAGGATTACTTTGGGAGCTTATTAAAATTAGACATGCTCAGTTGTCCCTCATGTTATTAATTTGTAATTTCTGGGCATGTGTATTTTACCGAGCTTACTAGGTTGTTACTCAGATGCACACGAAAATTAACAAATCACAGTGCTCTGGTTGGTGGGTCATCATTTTCTGACAGTATTACTTCAATACTAATAGCATTAACATAACCTAATTTTAAGAGTGGAATGGAGTCACCTTTATACATAAAAAGGGAAAAGAGGGTTGCCTTTTTTTTGAGAACGAAATTAGCTGTTTGGATGCTTCCTTAGAATGGAGTTCAGAAACGTTTTTTAACTCTTATGGTGGATCTGATTTTCTTTTGCAAGTGGAGGCAGCGTCTGAATAGTGCAGTCTCAGGAAAGTGAAAGGCAACATTTTACAACCTGGCTGACATTCCCAAATTTACTCAGGTTTTTGTCCTACTGGGGTTGTGTTTTCAGACAGGAGTCCACAAACACATTACAACATTAAAACAAATATTGTCTTAACTTGTATGAGACGTTGTTATGTGTCTAAATCAAGTTTGCTAAATTTCTTCCATGAGAAGTAATTGGAAGACAATTTTTAACTGGATGGCTTCCAAATGTGTCTAATGTTTTAAAAGAAAACATTTTAAAATCAGTATTTACTCCCATCCTTCAAACATAGTTTTTTCATGTAGTACTATGCATTATTAGTCATATATATGTATATACACACACACATACATATTTATATATATGTGTGTATATATATCTTTTTGTGTTGTATTAACAAAAAAGGTGGTGATAGGATAAGTTACCAACGTAATGACCAGGCCTTTTAAACCATGACCATAAAAAATGTTCAAGGTCCAAGTGACATATTACAATTAACATCAGGTTTCATGAATTGAGAGCTCACAATTTTCATTTGTAGGTGTTTACAGTACAGCTAACACTTGGAGATCAGCACTGGGAAGCTGAAGGAACTAGTATTAAAAAAGCCCAACACACAGCTGCTGCCAAAGCTTTGGAAGGAACAAAATTTCCTAAACCCATAGTCCGCCCTTTTCGTAGCGAAGGAAGGAATCCAGGTATTATGCGTGGGCCAAGACAGGTTCCTTTAAAAAGTGTGTCTAGAGGTACCCATTTAGTATGTATATGAATTCTTTCTTAACTAACTTGTTGATTTTGAAAGCACAGATTCTGCACTACCAGTGGCAAATACTTATCCTGAGTCTAAAGCAGTGGTTCCCAATCGATGGTCCCTTGATTCCTGATGATCTGGAGAGGTAGTCATGGAAGGTGGGGGTGTCATCAAACAGTCAATAAAATTTCAGAAAAGCTTAGTGAAAATAACATTTTCCTTGTTAAGGTTGTGCAGACTGCCAAGAATGTAGGCTTTAGCTAGATTCACTTCAATTCAGTGTGCAAATAGTAATTATAGCATGTTGATCAGAAACTCTGATTGTCAATTATGTGTCTCCTATTTTTAAAAAAAATGAGAAAATAACTTAAATACAAATCAGTAGATAATGTCTCTTCAAACAAGGGAACCAAGTGAGAAGAATACAAATAAAGAAGAGTGTCTGCTGAAAAGTTGGGAACCACTGACCTGGTGGCTATAGGAGGAGTGGCTGTGTTAGCAGTTACCCCTGGAGTACTTGAAGTCATCCCAGGCCTTTTGTATGCAGGAATGATCCAGGAAGACCTTGGTCACACCTTTCTCATTGCTTTTGATTTCTTTGTGGCATTATGTCTTTAAATTAATTCTCTACTGCAGATAAATTTGATGTGTCAGAACTGCTCTTAAATGATTCGGATTATATTTAAATGCAACTATGTGAATTATGTAAAAATAAAATTCTGATGTTAGGTGGAGAAAGGTTGGTTATTCATATGACCCTCTTTATTTTGCAGACCCAAAAATATTCTTATACATTTTATTTATGCAGTAAATTTAGATAGACCAGTAACAGTACAGAATCAAGTCATTTTTATTGTCCTCTATATAATGTCCCAAAGAGGCATTTTGAAGTGGATTTGTGTGTGCATTTAAATTGAACTTTGCCATTGCTAGTGTTGTTCTGTGTTTGATATGAAAGTGTTGTTTTTAAATGTGATTGTACATTGACACTAATCTTTCCAGGTTGGTTTTCTTTTTAAAGGTTTATAAATTGGATGAACCTAGAAAAAATTAGAAAATGAATAGTGTGTATTTTCTAAAGTTTATAATTCTGGGGTAACCCAAGATATACTTGCTCGTGTTGTATGTGAAAACAACTCATTTTCCTAGCAAGTATTACTACATGATTGATTGGTCAAACCCCAGTATAAATAGTGAGGATGGAAGTATCTGAATGTTTTGTGGGCCTCATCTGACTTCAGAAGAATTTACTTGCCTCCTCCTCCTCGGTGATTCTATACCTGTCTTTATAGCATCTCCTGTTGCATTGTCATTCTTTGAGTGTATTTTGTGTTCTTTGAGCGCCTCTGGGGCAAGCATTGTCCCTCATACTTATTAGCACAGTGCTTTGCATCCAGTTAGTACTTAATAAATGCATTGTTCTATGAAAGAGTGTGTACAAACATACTTCTAAGTGTAAGCCAATTACCCAGTAAGTCAGTGTAACCCAAGTTATATTGGTTTAAGTGTTCTCAAACAATAAAATGATTTGGGCAGTCACCTGGGATTTTTAATCATGGAAGTTGACAGATACATATTGGAACTTACTTCTGACCACTGGAATGTGTGGCTTTCACTGATAACATATTGTGTTGAGTTGCTGCTCCCTCTAATAGCCCCATAATACATTTTGTGCTGTTGACTATGAATTAATATCTAGAGATCACAGCAGATTCTTGGATTTCCTGACTTGATGCCTAGCGGTGCTGTATTTAGACCCTTTCATGCGGTGTACCATGAATTCAATTAGTAAAAAGCATGCTATATTTTTTATTTTATTGACTCTCATTCTTATGTCAGAAAAAGAAAAAACAGTTCTTGTATTATTCTGTGTTGCAGACAGCATAACCCCTACTGTAGAGCTAAATGCACTGTGCATGAAACTTGGAAAAAAACCAATGTATAAGCCTGTTGACCCTTACTCTCGGATGCAATCCACCTATAACTACAATATGAGAGGAGGTGCTTATCCCCCAAGGTATGTGTGTGTTAAATATGGGTGAAGATTTATCTGATGTTTTTTTTTTCTTTAATTAATTTTTGATAGTGGAGGGAAAGGAGAGAGGAAGAGAGAAATTTTGTTTTGTTGTTCCACTTATTTATGCATTCATTGGTTGACTCTTATATGTGCCCTGATTGGGGATCAAACCCTGCAGCCTTGGCGTATTGGGACAACACTCTAACCAACTGAGCTACCCAACCAGGGCCATCTGATCTTTTACAAAGAACAATGAAATCTATAGATCGTGGGGCAGTGAGGATTACGTCACCTTTGGCTTGCCAGGTGTTGAAGTCAATCTTCAATGTGTTGGTATCTTTGGAGTATATTTTGATGCTCTTTTATCTGCTGTCGTTGTAAAGGGCCTGAACATATTCCTCACAAGTAGTGTGGCTTGTGCCCCCAAGTGGTCTATTTAAAGATCGCCTTTGGAACTGCTTCATGTAACTGAGTCATATTTGAACATGAGTCCCACATTACTGTGATTCTCAGCGTTTATTGATTTCCTGATTATTATTTACTGGGTACTTTTTGACATTTGAACTTACGTGCTTTGCAAATAGCCTTGGTGTACAGGTGTAATAACAATACTTATTGATACCTGAAAATGCCGTGTGCTAAAATCCTCCTTTTGCTCTCATCATAAGACATTAGTGGATAGAATGATGATCAGAATTGGAAGTCTTTATTTTCCTGCCCTACTTGGGAAAGGGACAACCAAAGCCATTTAAAAAATATAAACTGAAGTTTGTAGCCTGGCCTCTGCCAGGCAGGCTCTAGGCTGGTGGAATTTACAGCAGTGAGGGTCCTTTAAAAAAGACCTCAGTTTAAAAATTCCCAGCCTTTTGTGTAGACTCGCAAGTGTGACTCTCAGATATGAGAAAGTAGAACATGTTAAGTTTTCTGATTCAGCCAAAGTCTAATCCATTTTAGATTTTGTAAACACTGTGTGACAGTTCTAATCCAGAGTAAATTTACTCTGCATATATGATGAGGACCTCACTGGCAAGCAAACACTAATGCAGTTAGAACCCATGATGAAGAAAATACCTGGAATTTTCCAGAGACTGTATGGGTGACTCATCAATCTGAGATTGTAATTTTCTTCACCCCCTTTTATTTTTAGGTACTTTTACCCATTTCCAGTACCGCCCTTACTTTATCAAGTTGAACTTTCTGTGGGAGGACAGCAATTTAACGGGAAAGGAAAGACGAGACAGGCTGCGAAACATGATGCTGCTGCGAAAGCTTTGAGGATCCTGCAGAATGAGCCCCCGCCAGAGAGGCTGGAGGTAAGGAGAGAGCAGAGTTAAAGCTCCTCGACACTTCAGGGCTGAGCAAGAGGGTGGTATGGTAGACATCGCCTCAGGTTGCTTTTTCAAAGGAGATACATTAAGAGCTGTCTATAATTTTTGTTATTTGATAGCTTACAAGATTTTGTATTCTTGTAGCATTCCTGCCTTTATTCTCCTTTTCAAAAAAATTTCTCAGCAAGAAAATCAGATGCCTTCTTTTTTACTCTATGGCATAGTTCTGTGTGAACATGTTAGAAAGATTGTGACTCAGTTGAATTGTGAATAACATGCATGGATGAATTCTTTGGTGCTAAAGATTATGCTTGTCAGAATCTACTGTGATTTATGGTACCAAGTTAGAGACTTTTCCAAAGCCATTTTTGACTAGCCACTCTTCATTATATTCAAGTGCCAGTTCTCTGTGACTGCATAACAAACCATCACAAGGCTTAGTGGCTTAAACACACACAGGTACTTACCTTGCTCACGAATCTGACTTTCAGTGGGGCTTGTCAGGGAGAGCTTGTGTGTGCCATATAGCTACGGCTGAGGCAGCTCTCCAGGGGCTGGAGAACCCACTTTCAAGGTGGCTTCCTCACATAGCTGGTAACGTATTGCTGGCCGTCTGCTGGCTGTCGGCTGAGAACTACTGGGGGGCTCTGGCTCAGAGACCTCAGTTCCTCTCTTAGTTAACCTGTGTAGAGGCTGCTTACATGTCCTCACGGTATGGTGACTGGGTTCCAAGAGGGAGCATCCTAGAAAACAGGAAATGGAAGCAGCTGCCAGCGTTTCTTAAGGCCTGGGCCCAGAATTCAGCATAGCATCGCTTCTGCCTTATTTATTCTACCAGTCTAGCAGGCACAGAGCCCAGAGTCAAAAGGAGGAGATAAAGAATCTCATTTTTTAGAAATTCAGGTAAAATTCACATAATATAAATTCACAGTTTTAACCATTTTTAATTCCATAGTTCATTGGCTTTTAGTACATTCACAGTATTGAAAATACCACTTCTGGATGAGAGGCATATCAGAGAACTTGGCAGGGGGGCATGTTTTAAAACTACCACAATAGGAAAAGGATTTTTAACTCTGACTAAATAGCACTGTGGGTCTTAGGAAATCAGCAGCTCCACGCCACTGAAGGGCCAGAGCCTAGTAAGTATCTCTGGTAAGGCAGAGTCTTAACTACCACAGGTCCAAAAGAAATGCACTGAGTGGGAAGCATTGAGACTTCATGATTCTGTTGAATCACAGCACAGAATGCCATCTGCAAATATCTCTGGGAAGCATTTGATTTTTCCTGTTCAAGGAGTAAGTTCACAAATAAGATCTTGCACAGAACATTGGTCTACATATTTGATAATAGGTATGAACCCGAGTGGACCCTTAGCAGGGTGCTTGCTGAGCTCCATCGTATTGAGGCTGTCCCCCAGGGTGTCCTAGCTCAGGATGGTGCTCTGTGGCTTCAGGACTGGCCACACGTGGACAGTGGGGAGTGGGGGAAAGGTGGTTTTGTTACAGTGCATTTCCATCTTCTGTTGTAATCACACATTTTAACAGAGATCCACGGATCTCTTTCCAAAGATCTGTTTCTAGGGTCCACTGAGGACCGAATAAAAGAGAATGGACTGTAACTTAGAAGAGGGGGATTCAGTGAAGTTAAAAGAATGATCTTTTTAGTGGTGAGATTTGGTAAAACAGCAAAAGCTAGTGTAATTTGGGTCATTTTGGTGGCTTCTCATTTTTTGACTTGACTTTAATGCTAATCTAACTGGAGTCAGATGGAGTAGGTATTTCTTGGTTCCTTTTAGCCAGCAGTTGTTAAAAGTCGCTGAATACTGATGTGTGGATTGTCTGCTTCAGAATCATTTGAAAAGTTAAAAAAAAAAATCTTTTGGCCCAACCCTCATGATTCTAATACAGTAGGTCTAGGGTGAGACCCAAGAGTGTGTCTTTGCCTTTTTTCTTTTTTAATGTGCTGTTGGAGTAATTCTAAAGCATGGTCAGGATTTGGGGACCACAGGTCCTAAGTATTATCAGTGCTTTCCAGGCAATTTTCCCCCCTTTGACTCCTCCTTGGGAGTACTCAGTTTATTGTTAGAGAGGGAAAGTGCCTGTTGGTGTCTCTGAGCCAGTCCCTCACTTGCTGGAGTGGCAGTGCGTAACTCAGGCCTGCAGGCAGAGGCTGTCGTCGGTAGACGTGCTCTTTTGGGCTCATCTCACATCTGTAAGGAGCTTTGTCAAGAGTAATGTTCAGATCTACTTGTGCCCTTTGTTTCCTCCACTTGGCCCCTTCTCTAGTTCTGTATGGTTTGAGATAGAGACAGTGCCCTTCAGAAATGGTTCAGAGGCTGGCCTTCACCAGTGCTTCAGAAATAAGGATCATTAGCAAGGGTAAAACTTTTTCTTCGAAATAGTAAATGAAACACTTGGCCTCCCACTGTAACGAGCTGCCTCTGATTTACCAGGCCCCCTGGTAGGTAGGTAGTAGAGGGTAAAGAGAGACATTTTCAAGAGCTAACCTGTTTTTGTTTTCTTTTAACAAGTAACGCATTTGAACTATACAGTTTTTTTTAAATTCACAAAATGAAAAACAAGTGGTTTATAAATTTACCACTTGGAGATGATCATAAACATTTCGGTAGTTATCAGTGCATATATAAATAAATACACAAATGGGATGATACTGTACAGTAACCACCTTTTTTCACCAATGTGTGTATCATGAATATATTATCATGCCATTTACTTACTATTCCATGGAGGACTCAGATTCAGCATGTATCTAAGCACTTTTCTAATGGCTGCAAAGTGTTGCATTGTATGCATATACCAGTTTATTTTTTCAACAGAGGCTTGGTTATTTAGGTTGTTTGCAGTTTCTCCTGTTATAAAATAGGTCATGAAGAACATTGTTGTAATTAAATCTTTGCGTATGTCTGTGGCAGTTTTCGTGAAACACAGTCCTAGAGGTGGACTTGCACGGTCATGTATGTGGCCAAGTTCCCCACCAGGAAGATGGTACCATTTTAGACTCTACCAGTAGGGTGTGAGGATACTTTCGGCTAACACCAGCATTGGAGATTGTCTGCTCTTGAAAAAATTGAAGCATGTGATTGTGTGGTGGATCGTTTCATCTGCTCTAGACCATAGTCAGTAAAGGAAGCAGTTTTTGTCTACAATGCAGGTGTAGCCTGGTGCCTTGACAACAGGCATTGTGCTGGATCCCTTTCCCTGTGGGGCTTAGTTGAAGGGAGCTGACAGACCTTAACATAGTATCATCAGAAAGTGCAGTGAGTGCTATGATGGAAAAGCAAGTATTATGAGAGCATAAAATGCTTCGCTTAGAGTGGAATAATGGTGGTATACTCAGAGAAGTTCTCTCTGAAGAAGTCATTTAAGCTGACTGTTAAGATGAGCAAAAGAGCAGGGGGAGGGAAGTACCTTCCCAGCCAAGGGAGCATCCCATACAAAGGTCCTGAGTTGAGACAGCACTTTTACTTTATTTTAAATCTAAGGCTTTTGCTAATGAAGGATGACTTAGTGTCTGAGCTGTTCGAATAAAACAATTGTAGTTATAGTAGCCGTAATAGAGAAAAACAGGAACTAGGAACTAACGTAAATGTCCATTAGTAGGGAAATGGTTAAATGGATACATTTATTGAAGGGAGTACCTGAGTGTGTTAAATCTGTTATACATGGGCATGAAAGGAGGGTCATAATCTATTGAGTAGGGGAATCAAGATCCAGACCTGTTATTATGTATATGGTGTGATCCTGTTCATGTTTAAGTAAGCAAAAAAAGTCATGTGCACACGTGTGTGGTGATTACATCAAGCTTTTAAATTCTTTAAAAATATGTTTATTGATTTTAGAGAGAGATGAAAGGGCAGAGAGAGAGAGAAACATTGATGTGACAGAGAAACATTGATTGGTTGCCTCCCATACACACCCCGACCAGGGATCAAACCCACAACCTAGGGGTGAGGCCGACCGGGAATCGAACCCCCAACTTTTTGGTGTATGGGACGATGCTCCAGCCAACTGAGCCACACTGGCCAGGGAACAAACTTTAAAAGTTTTCTAGTGGTAGACCACAGACTTTTTAAAAAATTGTACCGTTTGAAGTTTTTTCCTGGTCTCAAGTCCCTATCTTCACTTGGACCAGAGACGTATTTGTTTGGACTAAAACTAAAACTGGAGACTTTAATCCTCATTATATGATCAGGGTCCATTGAACTCAATTTTCATTTTTGTGGTTTTTTTTCCAATTTCTGTAAGGATTTACATTTTATGACTTTTATTCTTTTTAGAGGTCTTACAAAAGAGAAAAATATACTTTTAAAAAAACTAGAATAAAACTTACTCTTACAATGATTACGTGGGTTCATAGGCCCTTTTATAAATCTTTACATTATGGAATCTTAATTTTTCTAGTTTTGAAACATTTTTGATGTTTGTCATTCTACATACCATTTCAGTACTATTCATCATATATTCCCAAATATGCTAATAAGCAAGACTAAAATGATAAGAAAATGGAAGAATGGTGAAATCCCTGGGTAGATGATACAGTAGTAAAGTAATTGCCATTATTGCATCGTCCTTTAATGTTCTTATTGCATTGCCTGATGTATTTCATTGTCTTTCAAGAAGATACAAAAGGAGAGAAGAGATGCCGTCTTTTTACTCTACTTTTAGCTTTCACCGAACCCAGATGAGAATTGAGAATTTTTTTTTCCATCCTTACTGACAAAGAGAAGAAAATTGACAGTGGTTCTGTTATTAGACAAATCAGAAGATGAATGCAGAGAGACAAATAGCACTCTAGACTCTTAATTGTGATGGTGAGATTGAGTGTTTAAGTGAAATCTCAGACTGTGAGTCTTCCGATGATGATACCCTTGATAAATTTTCCTACACTGAAGAATCGGTGACTGAATAGTATAGTTCTGTGGTGTGCAAAAAGGAAATGTGTATTCTCTTCTGGTCATTCAACAGGAAGAACTGCGTCACACAATATTTTGTGACATGACCTGGACCATCCCATTTTGATTTTTTTAAAAAGTATGTGTGACAACATTCTTTCATTCTTTGTTATGTTTGGCCACCAGAATGTTTTATCATTTACTCCACAAAATAAGTAGACAAATGCAAAAGGAGGTGTTATGTACAGAGATGATGGACAGGAAATAGATGATGTAACAGTGAAAAAGATCATTAGATTGATCCTTCTTTGGAGTTTATAAATGTAAAAAACAAAAACATTTTTTTAGTTATGGGACAAAGAAGATGGCCGTTCTCCTGTCAACAAAATTATGAGTTTTGAAAGTAGTGTCTTTTGATAATACCGGGACAAGAAGAATCAGAGTCATGATAAGCTAGAACTTTACTGGAGATGGGTTTGAAGTCTGGCGTCCTGGCAGGTGGGCTGTGCTCTGGGTTCATGTGTGCCAGCTGATGGACAGTTGGTTGTATAAATGGACCTTGCCCATTTCAGGTACATATGTCTTCCAAACTACAAACCTGGGATAAAAACTTGGGTTTGCTATTTTACATTCTTATTGAAATGATTTTTGTTATCCTTTACTCTGTATATTATTTGGAAAATGACTTGAAATATGGAAAAATAAAAAGGGTCTTTTGGAGCCAGATGGTAAATGGTGATGACTATTTTTTCCTGGCATACTGAGGGTTAAGCATGGTTCAGAGTCTTTTTTTCTTTTCTTAATGTTGCCTAGATTTTATTGCTGAACCATACACTATGGGATTGATGTTAACAGTAATTCCCACTTCATGAAGGTAAGACTAAGGGCCTACTACACTTTCCCCATCTTACTGGGAATGGTATTTGTGGATTTGTTTTGAGTCATTTGCTGCTTCCCCATTGCAACATTTTGTCCAATTCAGATAATATCAAAATTATTTATGTAAAAGAGCAACATAATCGCACTTCCAAATAAATGTATATCTTTGTTTCCTCTTTTCCATTTTTATTTTACTGGCTGCTTTGTCCCTATTGAAATTCTTTTGGAAGCAATGGCTTAGAACAGTGAATCTCAACTCTGGTTGCTAGTAAAATCACCTGGGGACTTAAAAACAAAACAAAACATACTGTAAACGGAATGGGTATCTAAGCCCTACCTGTAAAAATTTGAATTCATCTGTCTGGAGCAGGGATTTGACAGCTGACTTTGTAAAGCTCCCAAGTGATTGTCATGCTGCTGTGGTTGAGAGCCACTGGCTTGGAGTTTAGATTTAGCAGTAGACCATTGTTTTCTATCAGACTTATGTGGAACCTCAATATATAAAATAGAAAAGTAGCATTTCATAGTGCAAACTTAAAAGTTTGAATTTTATAATATTAAGGCAATCAGTTAATTTATGTGAATTTTCACAACACATAATTATACTATATATTGTTTTCACCCATTAAAAAAGAAACACATGGCTGGGAAAGGCACAGTCTCATTTTAGAGCAGTAGTTAACTCTGCCATGGAAAGGAAAATGCAAAGGGTGTCATTGTGCTCCTTAAAAAAGAAAAAAATTCAATGTCAATAGTACTTAATGTTGACATTTGTTAAATCCAGTTGCCTGTTACATTATTTATATTTTTCTGCATGTTTAAAATAGGTCATAATTAAAAATAAAAGTTAAAATTAATTGGGCTGGTATAATGAACAAAAAAATTGAAAATTGGGTACAAACACGGCAATTGATGTCTTATATCAGCCTTATCACCGAGCTTATTTCCAACTTTTGTTTTGGTTGCACATAAGGAGACCATTCTCATTGACACAATTCCTGAGCATGGGAGTGGACCTTTTTTTAAAGCTCATTTATTTAAAAAATCTCTAGATACTCTTCAAATGAACAGCTGTCAAAAATTTTGTTGTGCACAAAAGTGGGTTAACCTGTTAGCACAAGTTAATGTGTTGACAGTCTTCTGTGTGTTAATATTTGGTGTGAAACACATACTTTTTTGTTGCTTTAAAAAACATTAAGATAAAATATACATAATAAAGGTTATCATTTTAACCATCTTTAAGTGTACTGTTCTGTGGCATTAAATATATTCTCAGTGTTGTGCAACTATTACCATTATTCATTTTCAGAACTTTTTCATCGTTTCACATAGAAAATCTAACTGAAACAGTAACTCTCCATCTTGCCCCCGCCCCCTGATAACCTCTGTTCTACTTCTGTCTCTCTGCATTTGCCTATTCTAGATACCTCATCTAAGTGGATATTTGTCTTTTGTGTTTGGCTTATTTCATTTATCATAATTTTTCAAGGTTTATCCATGTTGTAGCATGTTTCAAAATTTCATTCCTTTTTAAGGCTGAATAATATTTCATTGTATGAATATTCCACATTTTGCTTATCCGTTCTATTGATGGATGTCTGGGTTTTTATATTTTAACTATTGTGAATAATGCTGCTATGAGCTTGGGTGTACAAGTATCTGTTTGAGTCCTTATTTTAAATTCTTTTGAGTATATATCTAGAAGTAGAATTGCTAGATCATATTGTAAATCTATGTTTAACATTTTGAAAAACCATCAAACTGTTTCCCACAGAGGTTGCACCATTTTGCATTCTCAGCAACAACGTACAAGGGTTCCAATTTCTCCACATCCTTCTTGCCAACACTTGCTATTTTCTGTGGCCATTCTTATGGGAGTGAAGTGGTATTTCATTGTGGTTTCGATTTGCATTTCCCTAGTGATGTTGAGCATCATTTCACATGCTTTTTGGCTCTTTGTATATCTTCTTTGGAGACATGTTTATTCAAATCCTTTCCCTATTTTTGAGTTGGGTTGTTTGTTGTTAAGTTTGTAGGGGTTCTTTTTATGTTCTGGGTATTATTTCTTTATCAGATATATCATTTGCATCTATTTTGTCACATTCTGCCGGTTGTCTTCTGTTGATAGTGTCCTTTGATGCACAGAAGTTTTGAATTTTGATGAAGTCCAATGTATTTTTTCTTTTGTTGGGTGTACTTTTGGTGTTACGTCCAGTAAATCATGTGTCTTGAAGTTTTTCTTTGGTACTTTTTCTAAGACTTTTATTATTTTTGCCCTTACGTTTAGGTCTTGAGTTAATTTTTGTATATGGTGTAAGGTAAGAGAGGGGGTTCAGCTTTCCTTTTTGTGTGTGTATGAGAATATCCGGTTTTCCCAGCACCATTTGTTGAACATACTCTATTTTAAAATACCAGGTTTTTTTGTTGTTTGTTTTCTTTTGTTTTTTAGTTTAAAACCTATTTAACAAATAAATGTCAAACCAAACCTCCATGGAATCCATGCCTTATAAGGTACCTTGCTTGAAGATTTCTGGCTTTAAGGATTCACTCATAAAAAGGCAGGCCTTTCTCCTTAGGATTTAACAAGAATAGAAGTGTGTTTAGCTTAATGAGCCACCGGAAATGCTATGCAAATAGTGTTGACCAGGCAGAGAGTGAAGGGAAGCCAGATTGGAAAGAAAACAGTGGTGTCATGGAAGGGAGGGGAGGAATTATAAATAGTGTCTGGGATAAACGTGTTTGTACAGGACTATACTCTTGATTGTATTCATTTTTTTTACAAAACTTTGAGTTTTATTTCTTTTAATTACAGCTTAAAATGATGATACAGTGTAGGTATAGTTTTTACCTGATAAAACGTAAGGAAACCCTGGATAGTCCTGTACTGTTCAGCAATTTCAGCCACAGGTTCCTGTCATACACTTCTAATCTTGGAAATAGGATTTTATAATTTGTTGATTAAAGAGTCCCAATAATAGGAAAAGCACAGCTTGCTTGCCTGCAATGTTTTGGGGGCACTTTGCTGTTACCAAGCTTACCTAATTTCTCCTGTTATCACGGCAGCACAATTTAGAATCGTGCTATCAGCATGCACAGAGAAGGTCTCTGTCCCACTCTAGGCTCCGCCCTGGCTGGAGGACTGTAAATGAGCCTGATTACAAAGGTAGAGTCTCAGCCTTTGTTCAGGAGACTTTATTAGTTTGCACCTCTCATTTTTTCCAGCAGCAGTGAGTATGAGATACTTGGCGCTTTTATAATAATAGTTCCACTGCATTTTTTTTTTAAAGTGGTTTCCAGGGACTTCATGTCCAGATAAGAAACCTGCATACGTAAGTGGAGAAACTTATATTTGACCTTGCCATGTCCCACACAGATCTGTCTGATTTTGCCTTTTTCCAAAATGTGACTTGTCAGTCCTCGAGGAGGGCTTGGGCAGCCAGCCCCTCTTTCTGAGCAGCACGGCACTTCGCTGCACCATGACTAGGCTGACTTGTACGCTAAGGCCTGTTACGTGTGCATTGTTTATGGCGGATTGGTACAATCTGACCCAAGTGTGAGAGAACACTTTTTTTTTTAACCTTTTACTCACTGACACATGGTACGTGTGTGGCCTCGTTCACTGGTTTGACACTCAATCCATAAAGCCAAGGTTCAGTGCTTTTAAGGTCTATCATCTCAGTTGGGATGTTGATGGTTTTAATAAGAGTTAATTACTAAACAATTATTCTTGTTTTAGGTGAATGGGAGAGAATCAGAAGAAGAAAATCTCAATAAATCTGAAATAAGTCAAGTGTTTGAGATTGCACTTAAACGGAACTTGCCTGTGAATTTTGAGGTAAGTTTATTTTACATGTAGGACTCTGTATTATAAAATTGTTTTGGCAGTCATTGTTGGAATTATATTTTTCCTAAATAACATTGGAATCATAATCACCCACATGTGAACCTTCAAGTTTAAGATTCAAACTGTATATTTGGCAAAGCAGTGTTATCTTCTTCTAGGAGTTACTAGGGGCAGCCTCGGATTTCTAGATGGTCCACAGATGGCCTGAGTAGGTCTGAGCCTCCTAAAATGGCCTGGAGAACACTGGTTTATGTCCACATGGGTATTCTTCGGTGCGGGGGCGAGGGGGGGGCGGTCCATTAGACTGTCTGAAGCATCTCTACCCCAAATATTAAGAATCTTAATTGGTTCCTAAAAATCTTACCAGAGTAATTTTATAAAGGACAAGTTTTGTCATTGTCCATCATCTGTTCCCCTAGTTGTTGGAGACTTTGTGGTCTAAAAACAGTAATTAATGGCTGTTAGCAGAAAATGAACAGTAAGTTACCTTTAGTGTGCATTTCCTTCAGAGACACAGTGAGTCAAAAACTAGGCAGATAAGGGAGGATTTTTAAAATGTTTTCCTTAGAATTTGACATGTATCAGACTATTTCGATTTCCGTGCTTGGTTATGCAAAGTTATGTTTTAATATACAATGCAGATTTCTTTTTCACTTGTTTGGTCTTTCAGACTTACAGAGAGTATACTCTCTTACAGAGTATGCTTAGTCTTCTGAAGAGCTTTAAACTCAGACATTGTTACTTAGGCAGATGTAATTTACAGTGTAACATCTGCTTAAAACAATTTAAAGTGGTTCATAAGCTTATTTTGTGGCATTTCTGCAGTTACAAGTAACTCCCAAATTTTATGCCTAACCTTCATAAAATACATGTATCTCCTTACGTATATTATATGCTAGCACCCCAAATTGGGAACTGAGTTTAGTCCTTAATCCATCAGCTGATTGATGATGATTTCTGACCTGCAGCTTGGCCGCGCCTGCCCACGTGCCATGGGGGCAGGGCCACCCCGCCTCCCCCATACCCATCCGTGCCCCGTCCTGGCAGGCAAGGTCAGGTTTCTTTGGTTCCCCTCCCGGAGTGCAGAGCACAGAGGGTCTCGGGCTCTTGCCCTGCCCTTCCTCCCTTCCAACTCCCCGCCCTCTGTTGGGAGTGGGAGGTGGAGAGAGGGGAGGCGATGAGACGGGCGTCACACGGAATTGACAGGACTGGTTGTTGGGTGGGAACTCAGTGGGAGCTTTACCCCAAGAAGCCACAGGGTCTCCTTGGGCACCTGTTGCAGGAAAGGGAAGAAATGTTCCTTCTCTCTGCCTCCTGGGGGATTAGTCTGGCACACGCATGGATTTGCAAAGATTGGAGGGAGCGGTACCAAGACGGTTGGAGTCAGAGATGTTTGACTTCCTGGGTCCCCTCAGGGTTTCAGAGATGACTGCTGGGGCCAGGGCCCTGAATCCCTGGGAAGCTTGCCGCCTGCTCACACTAGTCATTGCCTGGCTTGAGAGTCATGGAGCTTTCTGGAACTTGAGTGAGAAATTACCATTTTAGGCTTGGCTCTGTGGGGTTTGGGGACCGGGTTGCTTTCATCGACTTGCATTTTTGTTTAGGTTTCGGATTTGGCTTTCAGACGTTTGTTCAGGAATATGTAGCATGCGGTCCAGAGTTGTCAAGTAGTCACAAGAGAAATTGTGGGAGTGCCTTCTGGTGGTGAATATCTTTTAAAGTAAAAAGCTTTTTTTTTTAATCCTCACTCAAGGATATATTTATTGCCTTTTATTTTTTTTTAAGAGAGAGAGGGAGGGAGGAAGCGGGGTGAGAGAGAAACATCAATGTGAGAAGCATTGGTTGGTTGCCACCTGTACCCAACCCTACTGGGGATTGAACCTGCAGCCTTTTGATGTATGGCGTACCAAATAACTGAGCCATCCAGCCAGGGCTAAAGTAATAATTTAAAACATTACAGTGTGTGTTCAGTTTGTGGCTATGAGTTTGTTGATGTGAGTGCTTATATATTAAATACCTCATCAAAGGTTCCTATTGACTTCCATTATTAGGTTGAGCAGAGGCTTCCATATTCCCCCACAGCTCTGTCTCTTGCACCTGGAAGATTACCTGGCATATTGTGGTTGCCAAGCAAGTATTTAATAACTAAATGAACAGAATAGTTTTTTTTTTAAAACTAAGTTTTCGATAGTAAAATCTTGTTGCGTAGGAAGCTGAGTTAAGTGTTTGGTAGAAGACAGGAGCCGTTTACAGAGTTCTTTAGAAAAATGTATACAGCTTGATATTTCGATAAAATACATAGTTTTAGTTGGAAACTGTGATGGTGCTGATTGATACAGTCACTGGGAGGCACTTGTGACTCGATCACAGTAAACACATTGCAGGTCAAACTCCAGATGTAGGTGGGATCACACTCTGAATAGACAGCGACAGTGTTTGCTGAGGGGCGAGGGTGGAGCTGTGAGTAGGACGCTAGCGGTCAGGGTGGCTGCTGCTGCGAGGACAGGGAGAGCACTGTTCAGAGCCGGAGGGTTTCGGAATCTGGGCTGCTGGTGTGGGAGGTGTAGTGTAAGGGCGGCGGGGGGGGGGGCGGTGAACTAGGGGAGCTCGCTCACACCCGTCTGCGGGGCCCTGGTCGGTGTGGCTTGGTTGGAGCATTGTCCCATAACCGCAGGGTTGCAGGTTTGACACCAGTCAGGGCGCATACCTATGTTGCAGTCTGATCCCCAGTCCCGCTATGTACCAGAGGCAACCAGTTGGTCTTTTTTTCTCACGTCGATGTTTCTCTCTCTCTAAAAGTAATGAAGACATGTCCTCAGGTGAGGATTAAAAAAAAAAAAAAAATCGAATCGGTCTGCAGGGACTGTGCAAGCCAGGCCCTTCCAGCAGGCTTCTTCCTGTGTAGGGCAGTCGAGGCCTCTCGGGGCGTGACGTCTCTTCATTCCCACCTGGGGAGCATAGCACTGATGGTGGACACGCTCTTTTTTTAGGTTTTTTGTTGTTCTTGGGTTTGTTTGTTTGTTTGTTTGTTTTTAAACAAAGGGGAAGGGAGGGAGAGGGAGAGAAACATCAATGTGTGGTTGCCTCTTGCACGCCCCACACCAGGGAACCTAGCCTGCGACCCAGGCCTGTGCCCTGACTGGGAATCAAACCAGTGACCCTTTCGTATGCAGGCTGGAGCTCAGTCCACTGAGCCACACCAGCCAGGCCAGGACACTCTTTTTATATGCTTATTGGCCATTAAGAGATCTAATTTTGTAAAGTACCTGTTCAAGCATTTCTTTGAGTAGTTGATCTTTTTATTATTGCCTTGTAGGATATCTTTAAATATTCTGGATATAAATCCTTTGTCAGATACATATATTGCAAATATCCAGTCCTTCTATAGGTTCCTCTTTTCACTTTTCAAGTGTTTTTTAATGAGCAGTTTTTAATTTTGAGTTAAAAATTTTTATTTTCTTTATGGTTGTGTTCTTTGCTAATAACTTCATGGTCATGAATTCTGTTTTCTCAAAGCTGTATAGTGTTAACTTTCACATGTAGGTCTGTGTTCTTGTGCAAGTTAATATTTGTTGGTGGTTGAGTTTGATATCATGGTTCAGGGGTTTTTTCTCGTGTGGATATCTAGTTGCTCCAATACTATGTTTTTATTTTATTTATTTATTTATTTATTTTTAGAGAGGAGGAGGGAGGTAGAAAGAGAGGGAGAGAAACATCAATGTGCAGTTGCATTTTACACGCCCTGTGCTGGGGACCTGGCCTGCAATACAGACATGTGTCCTATACTGGGAATTGAACCTGCAACCCTTTGGTTCATAGGACGGAGCTTAATCCACTGAGCCATACCAGCTAGGGCCCATGTTTTTATTTAATTTTTTAAAAAATTCACCAATTTTAGAGAGGGGGAGGAGAGAGAGAAACATCAATTTGTTGTTCCACTTATTTACGCATTCATTGGTTGATTCTTCTGTACCCTTACTGGGAATCAAACCTGCAACCATGGCATATCAGGATGACACTACAACCACCCAGGCTACTTGGCCAGGGGACTTTGGATTTGCTTTGGTGTGTTTGCCCAAAATCAAGCAACTATATGTATATGTATAGGTCTATTTCTGCATTCTGTCTGTTTTATCGATCGGTTTGTCCTTCAACAATACCATCGTGCTGCAGTTGCTGGAACTTTATTGGAAGTCTTGAAATCTGGTAGTATAAGTCATCTTAGTTTTTTTCCAACAGTGTCTGGTAGGATTCAACTTTTACTTTCTTTCTGTGTGAGCATGTAATCACTTTGATATGCATTAAGTTTCTGTTCATGTTCCATTTTAATGTTTTTCCCTATCTTTGTTGATTTATTTTTATATTTTTAGAATTTAAAATACTAAATGGTTCCAAAAGTCCAAAGTGGACAAAAAAGACACATTCAGAAGTGTCACCTTGGCCCCGCTCTACCCCTAATCCCTCCCACCTGCTGTAGGGAACTAATTCTATTGCTTTCTCCTTTCTGTCCCCCCCCCCATCACCATATAAACACATGTGTCTATTTATATGTGTGTGTTTACATATATGTAAAACTTTTTAAAACACAGATGTTAGGGTACCATCTAGGCTCTTCTTCAGTTTGCTTTTGTTTGTTTACTGTGTGCTGGAAATCACACTCAGTGCTTAGAGATTTTCTCATTCTTTTTTACAACTGCATAGCAGCCAGTATTTAATATGGTCAATTTTGACCAAAGGGTCAGAGCAAATATTACACTTGAATTCATTTCTGCTCTAATTATTTCTGGGCATTGCTGGGACAGCTTCCTTTCTGCCATGTGCAGGGGATCGCCCTAAACTCAGAACAGTCTGTGACCGCAGGGAGATGTGAGCCATCCTTACGGAAGGGTGGCGGTAGAACACATTGTCCTCTTCCATGCCTCACTGTGTGGGGCTCCTCAGAGCCCAGAGCATTAACACGTTTGAAAAAAGAAAAAGTTGAAGAAAAGGCATCCAGCATGATCACTGTTTCCTTTTGCTGACATTTATATTCCCTTCACTTTATGGGTTTTGTCCCTAATTCCCCTTCACCTGTGTCTCATGTGAAGTAGTGTGCTAACCAGTGTGCCCTACAGGTTGTATTAAGTGTCTGTCACGCTTTCACGCAGTCTTTCCCTCTAAAACAGGTCGCCCGGGAGAGTGGCCCGCCCCACATGAAGAGCTTTGTGACCAAGGTGTCAGTTGGGGAGTTTGTGGGGGAAGGTGAAGGGAAAAGCAAGAAGATTTCAAAGAAAAATGCTGCTATAGCTGTTCTTGAAGAGCTGAAGAAGTTACCACCTCTGCCTGCAGTTGAGCGGGTGAAGCCCCGAATCAAAAAGAAAACAAAACCCATAGTCAGGGTAAGTGCCTTTCTGGATGAAGAGCGTGTTTCCATTGTGACATTTGGGGAACTGGAGAGACTAGTGCTGACGCTAGTGGAAGTGGAGGGAGCTAATGCACAAATGCCAGACCCGGGAGACTCTATACAGGGGCCACCTTGTGTAGTTCTCTTGGGAGCCCCAGGTGAGGTAGGTAAGGCCACTGAGCTGGGTTCAGGGGAGTCACCTGCAGGCATGAACATGCAGATGTGGGTGTTCGCAGCCCTGTGGTCATGAGGGCGGTCAGTGCCTGCCTGCGGGGAGAGCCGTGAAGTGAGCGCCCTCCGATGGACTGCTGCGCCCATGCACCGGGAGGGGGGTTCGTGGGCGGAGAGATGGCCAGGGGCAGGTGTAGGAGGAAGATACCTCACTATATGCGGGGGGACCCCTCCAGAGAAAACTGGAATTGTCTTCTCGAGGGTGGCCCCTTGTAGTAGAGGGTTCCCCCATGACGTGAGTGTTCTAGGAGCCCATCTACATCAGAGTGCTAGTTGGTGGGGGTGTGAGAGGCTGCATTTGGCTTCAGTGAATTTTTTTTTGAAGACTCAGCACTTTTGCTCATTTCATGATGGGTGATTTATGAGCTCACTTGCTTACACTGTGCTGAGTGTTCCTCAGTTTTTGACCAAAAAATGGCATGACCCCTCTACCCCACCCTCCCTATTTACCCAGCCTCGCCCTGAGCGACATTTTTTTATTTCCCTGGATGAAAAACATCCTCAAAGAGAAACGTTTTGCCGATGTGGAAGAGGCAAAACAAAAAACCACAAACACTAAAAGGCATCAAAATCAACGCGTTCGAAAACTTTTTGAGCAGTGGAAAAGATGTCTTGATAGATATATTGCATCAAATGGAGAGCACTTTGAAGGTGATTGAAGTTTAAACATGTAAGAATAAGTACGCAATTTTTTATAAATAAATTCTGGGTTTTTGGGCCCCTCATCTTCTTGTTTTGGAGTTTTGGGTCTTGCCAATAGACCTATCGAACACTGTCTTGTCCTCCACCCCCAGCCTCAAAGCTGGGACAGGAGTCCATGGAGGGACGTTTTATGAATGTCAGGACTGTCACTATGGTTTCATGCAGTATCGAGATCCAGATTTTGGGTACACACATTAGCATACTGTACATAGAAAAGGTAGCATACTTTTGCAATTTCCTTTTTTTGCTTAATACATCCTGGAAATGCTTGTCAGAGTGGGTGAGGATTCCTTGACGCCGGCGGTGATCACTGTGGGGTTCTTGGGTTCCTCTCTCTGTGTGGCATGAGCTTGATTTTATTTTATTTTTTGTATACTTTTAATGGTTTCTGGATTTTGAGTCATTGTTAAGAAAGTTGGGAACCCATCTTATGGTACAGAGTTTTGGGAAATTTTAGGAATAGTGTTCTTATTTTTTTCTACCTTTTTAATCACTGTAATATGTTGAAATTGTTGAAAAACAGTCATTGCAATGATGCTTGCCCACTCATAGTGAAATGTTGATGTTGGTTTGCTAAGAAGTCCTTAAAAATCACTTTAGAACAATAATAGAAAATCATTAATCATCTTACAATTTAAAAAAGGTTTAAAAAGAGCAGATTAATTCTGAGCCATTAGAGCAACAAAAAGTAACTCTTGTCATGTCCTAACCTCTGAATTGGCCAAGTCCTTTCTGTGACTCATATGGTACATGGTTTCCGCAATAATTGTTCCTCAGGTACAGAGCGGCCCGGAACATGGCCAGGCGATGAATCCCATTAGCAGACTCGCCCAGATCCAGCAGGCAAAAAAGGACAAGGAGCCGGAGTACATGCTTCTCACAGAGCGAGGCCTCCCGCGCCGCAGGGAGTTTGTGATGCAGGTGGGTCAGTGTGGCTTGTGGACGTCCCTTCTCTGACTTTGTCCTGTCTCAAGCCGGATGATATCCAGGGTCAGACGCCTTCCTGAGGAGGCCGGGTCTGGTGCATCAGTCCAGTGGGCCGCTCCCTGCCCTCAACATTGTCGCTATTAAGACCACGTTGCTTGCAGTAACTTGGTGCCTCGAAGCCTTATTTCTGCATACACCGCAGGTGCTGTCAGTAGGTAGGAGTTTGGGCACAACATGCCAATTTAGAAGAGTGCCGGAGTGATGGAATTGTGGGTAAATTTTTTCTTTTTTTGAAGTTTTTATTTTTTAGAGAAAGGGGAAGGGAGAGAGGAAGAAAAGGAAACATTGATTGGTTGCCTCTCACACGTCACCAGCCGGGGACCTGGCCCACAACTCAGACATGTACCCTAACCTGGAACCGAACCTGTGACCTTTCGATTCCCAGTCTGGTCCTCAGTCCACGGGGCCACACCAGCTAGGGCTAGAGTTGTTTTCTTCATTACATGTACCTTAATGTTTATATCCTTTTCAGAAGATAAATTTTATAAGTTGTATCAGATTATCTCTTCCTGCTTCTCCTAATCCTTCTGTAGAATCTGGAGTCCAGGTTGGCTCTTCTTAGATTGCAGTGACACTTCAGAGTAGCACAGAGGGTTTCTCCTCGTGCCTAGCTTATTAAACAGATATTCACATGGGCCGCTAATTTGTGATTTGAATCTAGTAGTGTTTTCTGCTGAAAACCAAGGCATTTAACTCTTGTGTATCAGTTTACCACTTAAAGCATCACCACTTAGCCTGGTGCGTTTCACCTCCCCCATGGGAAGGCGAGAAGAGTAGTGATTGATCCATTCTGCAAGAGGAAACCAGCTGGCTGAGAAGATCAGTAATGAACTTGCCCAAGCGCAAATAGCTGGTAGATGATTAGTCGGGATTCAACCCCAGGCCCCTCTTTACAGGCCAGGGAAGGTTTCCCTGACTCTCGCAGTTTTGTGACATGGGGCTTTTGGTTTTGGTCAGACCAGCTTGCAAGGGGATTGTAGACTGTGGGTGTTCTGGAATATGTTTCACAATCAGCTCTTAGGAGAGAGCAGTATGCTCGAGGGGTGCATGTGTGTGGAGGTGTTCACACCTACAGGGTGTGGCAAAGGTAGTTTCCAGTTCATATGGAAAATAATACAATAATTAGTAAATAATAGTACAAGAATAAACTTTCATATACTCACAACTATAAACCTACTTTTGCCCCACTCTGTATATATAAACATACAGATATTTTATAAATTTTATTAATAGAAAGGATGTGTAGCACAGAGTTTACAAATAATATATTTCATATGTATAATATTCTTTAAAGTTCATACATCACTTTAGTGTGATTGTCAGTAACAGTAGTGTTATAAAATCAGACTATCAATCAATGCTTGTACTATCCAGGCTGCTCATGTCACTGACAAGTGAGTGTAGTTCTAGGATGAGTATTGGTTGGTATTTTTGTTCACAGTAGCAAGTGAGATGAAAGTAAAACAACAAAGACATGTCGGAACTTTTCTCACTTGTAAGCAATATTAGTGACTTCTCTGCTCAATCAGATAATTTTCGCTGACTAGAAGAATTTTCAGTTTTTTATACTAGTTACAATGTCTTGGTGAGACTTGACATGCATTTAAGCTTAATCTGCCTTGTTAACCTTTTCTCTGTCATTTAAGTCTAGAATAGACATTCAACAAAACCTGTCTTGCTCTGTAGTGTTCGCAGATTTTGGTGGTGGGAACCCTACCATCGCTGTCTTTACTCCTGGTTATCGAGTCGGGAAGAGATGAGCAGCAGCACACAATTATGTAATATTTCCACCATACAAATACAATAGACGTAAAGAACTTCAAAAGCATAGGTAACTCTGAAATGTAGTCAAATTAGGAAGTGATGAGTCTTAAGTATTCATTTCCTGTTTGTTGAACTAATTTATTTCACTATAAGCTTATACAATATGAGACTGTTTGGTAATGGTTACCTTTAACAAGTTCTCTCAATTCCTGCATATTTACCAATCCGCTTTTGCAGGCTGGTGCAGACCAACTCCTGGGTGCTGCTGCTTAGCTGCCTGGCTTCTGACCAGTGCTGGATTCTTTGGCCAGCACATCAGTTCCTGACTGGTTTTTACTGTGAAGGTTTAAGCACTAATATGAGTCTTGTCTTCTTCATGCAGGTGAAAGTGGGAAATCATACTGCAGAGGGAATGGGCACCAATAAGAAGGTAGCCAAGCGCAACGCGGCTGAGAACATGCTGGAGATTCTTGGTTTCAAAGTCCCACAAGCTCAGCCCACCAAACCAGCGCTCAAATCAGAGGATAAGGTGACTCCTTGGGGCTGTGTGTCCTTGTCTCTATTTGCAAGATGACCTCCCCCTCGTCCTGGGGACTCTGGTACCTCCAGAGCCAAGCTTCAAGGCAGGCCTTGGCCCTTCTGGCTGTGAAGCAGCCCTGCCGATCAGCGTCTTCTCCATTCAGGCCATTATAAGGTGGTCAGAAGGGGAGACGCTCGTCCATGGCCGCAAGAATGCTTCTGAGTCAAGTTGTTACTCTCACGGTGTCTTTGTGGTCTAGGATGCTTTGCTGGAGGGCAGCTTGCTTCTCTGTTGGTAAATTGGGCTTGAAATTAATGAATCTGTGATTCCACCATTTGCACTCATAGAATGAGGCCTGCATAAAAGATTTCTCAACTTGGGCTTTTGTTCGCTGTGGAGCAGGCTTTGGTTTTTCTGGGACACTGAAATAGTATGATTTTAGAGGCAGGGCCAAATCTATAGTTTAGACTTGAGATTTCTTTTTTTCTTTATAAATTTAACACTAGATAAGAAACAATCCTGTATTGAAAATTTTACTCCTCCCAAGACTTTTAAGCGGTGCCCCACCGAAAGCCTTGCCTGACCTTGTCTCCAGTCTCTGAACGCTCCTGTCGGGATATGCTTGCAAAACCAAGGACTGATTCACGGCCCTCGGCCAGTTGTATCCACTTTGAGAAGCAGCATCTGCTGTGGCCACACAGTTAATAAGTAGGACCCCAAACACTTGTCAGAGAATCTGTATAGATTCTGGACTTGGATCTGGGTTTTTTTATTCCAAAACCTTGTAGAGCATTCATAGGCATCCTTACCTTCTCAGAAAAGAGACCTTGTGTTTGACAAAATTTTTATCTAGTAACATTTCCCTCTCAGTTTGTCATCTCTGGAAATGTCACCTTACTAGCTGCAGGAAATATTTTTTAGCTTCAGTGTAAAAGCATCTTTTCCCACCTTGGGCTCTACCAGTATAGTGTCTTCTGGCTCCTTCTGATTTCATGCTCCCTTCTCTTCCTGTGCAGACGGAGGCCCAGCATTTGGTCTGGTGCATCTGTCTGTGGACAGGCTGGGGTCTGTGTTTGGGGGCCTGTGTACTGGGAGAGAGTGAGACTTTCTTTGCCTTTGGGTTTGCTGGGCGGCAGAAGCAAACCAGTGGTCAGGCTTTGGGAGGAGGGCTTTCTGCGGATTGCCTCCTTATCTTTCACACGTGTCAAAACCAAAGACAGATGTTAATTGGAGTTTATAATCTGTAGACGGCAGGAACTAATGGAACTAACTTTTCAACAGTTTGACTTATATTCATAACCCCCCTCTTTTTTGTTTGTTTTTAAGACACCTATAAAGAAACCAGGGGATGGAAGAAAAGTAACCTTTTTTGAACCTGGCTCTGGGGATGAAAATGTGACTAGTAAGTGTGATGTTAATATTGTCTCGATCTAAATGTGATTTTGGGATTTGCTTGGTTCCTGATAATAGCAGGTGCCCATGAACAAGTTTCAGCACATTCAACTCTGCATCATCCTTGTGCCAGTGTGTATGCTGAGGGTGGGCAGGTGGATGGGGTTTGTAGTATCTTTCCAGGCAGGCAGTGCGTGTGGACTTGTGTTGATTTGTCTGTGTGTTCCTCCCCAGGCAATAAAGAGGATGAATTTAGGATGCCTTATCTTAGTCATCAGCAACTGCCTGCTGGAATTCTTCCCATGGTGCCCGAGGTGGCCCAGGCCGTAGGAGTCAGTCAAGGACATCACACCAAAGATTTTACCAGGGCAGCTCCGAATCCTGCCAAGGCCACGGTAACTGCCATGATAGCCCGTGAATTGTTGTATGGGGGCACCTCGCCCACAGCCGAGACCATTTTAAAGAATAACATCTCTTCAGGCCACGTACCCCATGGACCTCTCACAAGACCCTCTGAGCAGTTGGACTATCTTTCCAGAGTCCAGGGATTTCAGGTAACTGCTAGCCCAAGCTGTGGGGTCTGTACCTCCGTGCAGTCATATTTGGGTTTCCCTCAGAAAACGAGCTTTGTACCTGATTCTGAAGAGTCGAGTTCTTTGTCAAGGGGGATGGGTGGAGAAAGCATGGTAAGAGGGTCATCCTAAGGAAGGGTAGAGAGGTATGGGAAGTATAACAAGCCTATAGGGTAAGAGAAAATCCTTGACCTTTGGTAATAAAAGTTTAAATATCCAAGCCAACTGTAATAATAACAAAGCCTCTGATCTAGTGGTAGTTATAAATTTAGATTTCGGTGAGAACAGACTCCTTGTGCTGACCCTTTCTGCCTGGTAAAGACACGACTTCTTTTAGACCGGGGTTTTTGAGTAGACATTTAGGCTCCTGGAAGACTGTGGAGGCTGTGGCCATGACCTGCCTGCAGCCCCCGGCACCCCTCCGCAGCAAGCCCCCCGGACAGTCTTGTACTGACTGAGCAAAAGATGACGTCCCATGTCAGGCTGAGACTGGGGAGAGAGGCGCCATTCCCCTCTTTGCTAAGCCCCATTCCCCCATTCATAGTCACCTCCTCCCTACCTTTGCCTCAGTTTTCTTTTCCCCCTTAGGTTGAATACAAAGACTTCCCCAAAAACAACAAGAACGAATTTGTATCTCTTATCAATTGCTCCTCTCAGCCGCCTCTGATCAGCCACGGTATTGGAAAGGATTTGGAGTCCTGTCATGACATGGTGCGTTCCCCCACACAGCGGGCCTAGTTCCGACCTGTTGCAGGCCGCAGGGTGACACATGAAGGGGTTTCCCGCAGACGGAGGGGAGTTGATTGTTTCACGGATTTCATATTTCTGAAGAACTTTTTTCTTAGTTTACTGGGCTGATGTCACATCCTGTTTATGAGAACTTAGCAGCTTTAGCCAGCCCTTCCCCTGCGGACCGTGGATTCGAGAACCGCTCCAGAGATCGTGTTCAGTTCACCTCTTACTAGAAGCAGGAATTGCAGGCCCGAGTTCTGGCAGCTGTAGAAGGCCCTTACTTTGGTATTCTGCTCAGATGAAATTTTTGTTGTGAGAAGTGCTAAAACCGAGAAGGATTGCTTAATGTGCATAAACTTAGGCACATTCACCTGATGGAATATTATGCATCCATCAAATTAATGTCTCCAAAGATAATGTATTCTAACAAGGAAGCATGGTCGGTTTTTGTTTTAAAGGAGGATATAAAATTTGTCCAGTCCACTTACCACGAGGTTAAAAATACTAGCAGGAAATGTGTAAGAAAATTAACAGGTGATTTAATGATGTAACCATAGATAATTTATTTTTTAAATTAAAAATTCAAACATTAAAGAAGCTTACTTAGTGGAACCACCTGCTTTGTTGGATGATAGGAAAACCTCCCCCTCTATAAGCAGTGTCTTATGCTGTGGTCCCAGGCAGTGGCTGCGGTCTGACTTTTCTTTTTGTTCCCTGCTAGGCTGCACTGAACATTTTAAAGTTGCTCTCTGAGTTGGACCAACAAAGTACAGAGATGCCAAGAACAGGAAATGGACCAATGTCTGTGTGAGTGAGCTGATCTGCATGGGAAGGCAGTTCTAGTCCTTGTTTGCGTTAAATTCACACTGGTCAACTCAGTAGTGAAACACTTGGCCTCAGTCACTCCCTGCCCCGTTCCCTGGAAACCTTTCCAAGTTTGGAGCAGAGAGCTCCACTTTGTAAAAAATTTTGAATACTGTATTTTGCTGTGTATAATGCGCTCCCATGCATAATGTGCACGCACATTTTTGGCCCAGACTTTCAGGGAAAACAATTTTCTGTTTTTTAATTTTTAAATTCAGTTATTTATTTATATTTAGGACAAAAACCAATTACTGTATTCCAGGGTATTATTTTGCATACGGATATCATTATTGCTGTCTAGAGTTACACTTTTAATGCATAAGCATAAATAAAAGAATTAACATTTATAATAGATATGGAATTAGTACTACCCATGTGCATCCTTGTTTCTCCCTCAAAAATTCAGGCAAAAAAGTATACATTATACACAGCAAAATACAATAGATAATATATTCATAGGATTCCAAAATCAAAATTATTTTAAAAGGTACGCCATGATAAATCAGTCTGGCCCTCGTGCAGGCCCCATCCAGCTCATTGTTCCTGCCCCATCCAGCAGTCACATTTTTATTAGTTTCTTATGTATGGATACTTCCTCTTTCATTACGCAAATATAATCTTACACTTCCTTATTTTCTTCCCCCCCCCCGCCGCCGGAGATGATATGCTGTGTACATACTCTCCTCCTTGCTTTTTTCACTTGACAGTATATATCCGGTGAAAACCTGACTGTAATCCAGTTATCATAAGGTCGGGCCTATGCTTTTTGGCTTCTCTCAGTGTCTGTGAATTTCTTTTTAACATGGGTTTAATTCTCATAAATTTCAAAACTAGCATCATTTTCATTTTTTTCTTCCTTAAAGGTGTGGGAGGTGCTGAACCCCTTCTGGCCATGAACCATTATAAAATCCCCAACATATACTGAAAATACTGAGACTGCTTTTGAAAATTTGGAATTTCTGATACCTCCAGTGGGCCGAGAGACGCGATGGGTAAAGAACTGGAGACAGCAGTGGTGACCAGGGCGGGAGGCTGTGGCCGCTTGCACGTGCTGTGGCCGGTCCCCACACTGCAGCAGCTGCTTTGGGGGAAGGCGGGCTCAGTTGTGAAGCCAGCAGGTCCGTGCCCCAGGCACTTCAGTGCTTGGTTTTGGGTTTTTTGGTTGGTGTATTTTTTGCTGTGTGAAAGAAGAAAGCAGAAAGCATGACCCCTTCTCAGACTGGCCCACTCAAACACTTTGGGACAAATCCTGGACGTCCACGCCGGAGAGAGGCCTTAGACCAGCCGGCCCAGAGCTGCAAGCACCAGAGAAAAATCACATGCTTCCTACTCAGCGCGAGCTAACCTTTCCAGCGCGCTATGGCTCACCGCCTCCGTGGTTCTCACACCATCACCACTGCTTTCTCTTCCAAAAGAGATACATATTCTTAGTTTTATTATTTTCTTTTGATTGAAATGACACTATATAAATTTTCATTTGAGTTTCTCAATTGTATCTAGTTACATAGCACAGTTTAGAAACTTATGAGACTGACTTTATCAGTAATTTAACCGGCAAAAATTAAATCCATGTGTATGTGGTTATACCTTTTTATTCTATTGGACTAACCCAGGACCATTTCAGTTATGCAAATTGTGTGCCCTCTGGTTTAGCTGAAACAGTCCTGGACTTCTCAGAAACTTTGATGAAGTTTCCCACAGTTGTATAAATTGGACAATTTAGGAATTTTAAACTTTAAACGATCATTTGGCTCCTTTTCTATTTCATTTTTGTTAATGCAACAGAACTTAAATGAACTTTGATCTCTGTTTTAAAAGTTATTAAAATCGTGTATATATACCTATGGCTCTTGAGAACACATAGCTTTCACTACACTACAGGACGTGATCTCCATGTAGTACATATGAAACTGCGGATTGGTTTCCCCGAGTGCTTTATACTGTTGATTGCATCTCCATGTAGGGCTGAAAAGAATGACATATCTATGTGTATTTCTAAAACTGTGTTGCTTTTGATGTTGTGTTACTGTGCACAGAAGTGTGTGCGGTAAGCTTCTGCACATGGTCCAGCTGGAAAGCACGGTAGCCTAGCAAGTACTGCTTCGATTCATTGTTTACGCTGGAATTTTTTCTCCCCATGGAATGTAAGTAAAACTTAGTGTTTGTCACCAATAAATGGTAATACTAAATTTTTTTTGTTAATTTATTCTCAGTTGCCACTACTGCTAGGTTGGGTCCCCTCCCAACCTGCCCCATATCCTTTTTTTAAGAAAAAAAAATTTGTAATGCTTGTGATTCCATTTGGGCAAAATTCTGAAGACCTGAAATAACTTTATACCAAACTGTTTATCAATAAACAGCTACTAATGAATTTTTTTGGTTCTGTTGAGCGGTAACTAAAGGGAAGATGGAAGGGCACTAAAGCACGGTGTGGGGGGCATTGCTGCAAGGGGCGCGTGGGCACCGGGTGCAAGGGAGACGCCTGTCATCTGAACCTGACTCTGCTACCCAAAGAAATGACCCGGAGACTTCCCGACAGCCCGAGTCTCCTTCCTTCCTGAGGCGCGCTCACACTCAGCAGGAAAGGGAGGTGTTGCTCTCTAGCCTGGCCGAGGAAGGGACTGGTGGTTTTCTTTTAATTTTAGAAGACGCTCAAAAATGTTGATCACAATAAAACCAGCCTGTGGATTGGACTGCTGGAATAACCAAAAGTCATCAGAAGGTTATGGGAAAATGCGGAGGAGTGGAGGGGATTCAGCACTACAGGCATAAAAGCAGTGAAAGGAAAAGATGTTTTCCCTGCCCAGTCCTAGATTCAGCCATTTCTCCAAGGAGCCCTGGTCCCCTTTAGTGACAGAAGCATTTAGAAACCAAGATCTGGATGCTTGGAGCACTCATTGCTACTAGTGTGCTATTTCTAGGCCATTCAAGCAGACACCTCAGAAACGTGTCTGTATTATGTACATACGTGTGTGTGTATGTACAGGGGTGGGCAAAGATAGGTTTACAGTTCACGTGGAAAGTAGTACAGTATTAATAACAAACTTTCGCATACACCTGTACACCTACTTTTGTCCACCCATGTATATGTATACACACACCTATTTATTTGTATATATATTTAAAAGCCATGCATTTATACTGGTATCTCCAGCATCTCCGAGTTCTTCACAACTTTCTCTCTGGTACTTTCTGCAACATGGAGTTTGTAGCCAACCTCCCAGCCTTGCTAACTACATCCTCCACTTATCACCTACTATGCCTTCTCTTGTGTTCTTAGCCATCGGTTCAGGGCACACTGCCTACGCCTCACAGTAGGCACACTGGTGACAGGGCAGGAGAATTTTAAATAACTGAGAACTTCTGGTGGCTGTTTCAAGTTGGCTCTCATTGACAGCACTCCAGAAAGTGACAATTTCCACTTAACATCTGGGATGTTAGGAAGAATTTCTGGGTTTCTTTGGTAAGAGGTTTTTCAAAGGTGAAACATCATTGGCTGCTTTGGAAAGCTGTCCAGATGGGAGGTCCTTGAATGGTCTGATTGTAAACTCAAAGCAGCCTTGCCTCTGGACAAGCCCTGTAGCTGCCGTCGGCTGCGGAGGGCCCACTCGTTCTGCAGTACTTCTTGTCTCCATGGGCTTCGAGAGAGCTGCCTGGGAATCCAGTTTGCACTACATTTTACCCCAACATGATCTCTTTCTTGAGTGGCGAGAAACTTTGATCCCAAACAATGTATTTCTGCCCTTGGGACAACAGATACAGTCCTGATTTTCAGGATGCGGTCAGAAAAGCAGACAGGAAGGCCTGAGGCAGGTGTAAAATTATGGATGGTATTGTGGGTCAGCCAGAGTAAGACTGGGTCTTTGGATTTGTAGAGCATTGGTCCTCGAAGGCAGAGGCTCCTTGGTGGTCCTATGATTGACAAGCTTGGGACTCCATCACCCCATAGTGGTGTGCGGACATCAAGTTCCTCCTACTACAAGATGTTAATGAGTGAAGATGATTTCCTTATAGCTGGTTTTTTTTTTTGTTGTTGTTGTTGTTTCTTAAAGTCTTACAGAGTGTCACTTCTGAATCTAGGTTTCTTTCCACAGCTCACTGAGCTAATGTGCATGGTTGCAGGGCACATGCCCTGTGACAGACGCTTTGGCCAGGATTCCAAGGTCTGTTGGGGTAGGAGGGAGTCTGAAATGGGTGTGATGAATGGGAAAGGAAACCAGCTGTTCCCAAGCAGGGTGCTGCTGCTTGCTGTGTAAGAGCCAACATGAGCTCAGGGGAATATGGCCGCCCAGGGAAGAAGGATGGAGTGTGTAGCTTTCTGTTTGCATGTACCTTTATAAACTTCCAACACTACAGCTTTGGTTTTAGTGCCTAAATGTCTGTATGCCCTTAATAACAGACCAAAAAGAAAAAAAAATTACTCAAAACTTCTAAATCCATTAATAATGATTTAGTCAAGCCCTTAAGTGTTCTGGATTGGCAAGGAGGAGTTAGCAAATACAGGCTTTTAAAGAAATGTGTGTTCTAAGCAGCAGTGGCTAACTCAAAGACAGGAGGCAGCGGAGTTTTCAGTTCCTGAAATCAGTTACTTTCTTGGAATGTGTCATTCTGTGTATATAATATACATGTGAAACTCATTCACCATATTCTAATCAGACTTAGTACTTTAAGCAGCATCCAGTTTTTAATAGCAAAAATTCAATGTCTTTTAGGAAATTTGTACTCTTTGCTTAATACATGCTTAATCCGAGTTCAATTTAAAAAATATTTCCTTTGTACATTCTTTTACAAAGATTCATCAAAACCTGCTTTGATGGCAGCACCCACTGGTCTTGCAGTGACAACAGGAAATAGAAGTATTTGTGTAGAGGCAATTTTCTGAATGATATTTCAATTTCAAAGTAAATTGTGAAGAATTTTAAAGTGTGCTGTGCACACTTGGGAGTCTCCATTCTAAAGCTGGGTGGTGAGTTATGCTCCGAGCACCTGGAGCTTTGCAGAATGAGGTCTGCCAGCCCCACTCTGCCAGGCCCAGCCTTCAGCCACCACGAGTGTTCTCACTTCCTTTGACTGTAGCAGCAGCAGCAGCGAGGGTCTCTCTCTGACCTTTGACATTGCTGATGGATCAATGGGCAGTTGGTTTCACTTTGGAGGAAGGATCTGTCAGGAGCCTGTGTAACTTCTTCAGACTTCTTATGAAGTAATCTGCTTTTCTGTTGTGTATTTGCGCTTGATTTTTGTCCCAGGGGTCAAACTTTTTTGTTGCTACGGTTTCTGATTGGGTGTTTTCTGCTACCTTGTTTTCCAGATAGCTGACTTGATCCTCAGCTTCATCTAATCTGTTAATTCCCTCTATGTACTCTTTATTTCTGACCAGTTTTGTTGTCGCCATCATTCTAAATTTACCTGTTCTTTCCCTAAGCTTACTGGAAACCCTTATAGCTGTTTTGACTTTGTTCTTTCACTTGGGACAAGTCTTTTGTCCTCTCTTTTTGGCTGACTACCATGTTTGTTTGAGTGTTAGGTAGATCTGCCACATCTCCCAGGCTCGACCAAGCAGCCTTACGTAGTTATGTTCTGAGGCCTAGTGGCAGCCTCCCTGGTCACTGGAGCACTCCACCCCTTTGCGTAGGCGGTGTGCCCTCCTGTTGCATTTGAGCCTTGATCGCTGTTGGCACGTCAGTGGGTGGGACTGACCCTCCAGCTGACGAGCTGTGAGGTGGCCATAACTGTTATGTGGGGGTTGATCCCACAAAGCGGAAGTTGCTTTAGTGGGGCTCTGGTCCTAGCCAAGTCCAACCTTCAGGTGTGTCGTTTGTGGAGCTGGTCAGGTGGGGCGTGGGTGCGGTCTGAAGCCAGCCGCCAGATGTGTTAGTTCTGGAGGGTCAGGAGTGGCTCCAGTGTAGGCCAAGGTAGCTGTTCATAGGGCACAAAGTGACCTGCAGTTGGTTCCACTGGTGCTGGGCTTACAGGCTCCTGGAAGAGACTATGCAGCAAACCAAGGCCGGCTGCTGCTATATTTGGGGCTACCGAACAGGAGTTACCACACTAGCTGAGATTTGTCACCTGTTGTACCAGGCTTGGGGTCAAAGGTAGACTGAGGACAGCCGCTCATTGTTTGGGGTTCGTGGACTAATTCCTCAGCACCCAGGGAGGAAGGTCGTGTGTGTGGAAAAGCTGCTTGGTTGTGCCCATTGGGTGGGGTCTCAGAAACAGAGAGGCCCCTGGGGCAGAGTGGAGATTCGTGTTGGGTTAATGGAGAACCTAGACTGGCGCCAGCTCAAGCCAGCCAGGGGGAAAGCAGCGGTGCCAGCCGGCTCTTCCAGCCCTGGCCCTGAAGCTAGTCGGTTCCATTCCTCCCCGCGGGCCCCTGGAGCATTCTGGGCGGGTGCCCCCCACTCCTCTGCAGGGGACCCTCCCACAACTGACATTCCTCACAGGAGTGTGGGACCTTCCCATTCCATGTCTCTCCCCTCTTACCAGTCTCATCCTGGGTTCTTCATGCCCTTAATAAGAGGATTTTTGTTCATGTAATTTCCAAGTTTTCAGGTCGTGGTTCTATAATTCAGCTGTAACTTGGATGTGGTTGTGGGAGGAGGTGAGCGCCCTACTTCACTATTTTGTCTGGGAGTGGCAAGGCCTGGTAGGTACTGGGCTCTCTTCTCCTGCTGCGGACTCACTTCAGACAGGTCAGGATGCCTCCTCGGCTGGCATTTGCTGCAGGAGCCCTGGTTCCTGGAAGCAGTGATCGTTTGCCCCGCCAGATGCAAGGGCTGACTCAAACTGCAAGATGATGGACGATTTCCTGGTGCAAGGTATGTGTACCTCGCTTACTTGTTTCTTACCACCTTTTGCAGTGGGTTTGAGAAACCTTTCCACAAACCTGTCTATTGTGGTTGTGTGTTTTTTTCATGTGGACAGTGCTTCCCCATGATCCAGTTCCTCTCTCCCACTATCCAGGTTTATGAGGAGGCAGGCCAGGAATAGATAAACGAGTTCACGGCTGCCTTCTCCCAGCACTGGCTTTACCACCTAGAATGCGGCAACCCCGAAGTAGGGTATTAATGTTCCCTTGTAAAAAGATACGTCTTCTGAGTGAATCACTTAGAAATAAGGATTTTTATGGAATCCAGAAGGGAGGAGGAAAAAGAAAAATGTAAAGAAATTCATTATAAAAGTATCAGTGAGC